AAGTTTTAATAGGAAACTAAATTGTAAAGTGCATAAGAATATATTTTGTGAAATGTAATGCATGCCTCTACTAAATTAAAAAAAAAATTGCATGCTGACTTTACTGAAGTGATAAGATTAGCTTAAATAGGTAAGATTTTGTAAACAGCTATTCTAAGATTAGGCTGCTCTTCAGTTACTAATTAGCAGGCACTACTTATTAACATGTTCAATACCATATTAAGTAGATAAAATGACTTTGATGTGCAAATATTCACTTGTTTCCTAAGTCAGTTATCTGGAAATGTTTTTTTAACCAACACTGAACACTAACCATTAACTAAAGATAAAATTTAATAATGTTTCTTTGTTTGGTATTATTTTAAATTATTGCTTCTTGTTCTTTTAATCATGCAGCAAAACCTGGGAAAGTCATTATGTTATGCATTGTGCTAGGTCCCAAGCATGTAGAGATAAGGATACAGCGTTATGGTTCTGTTCTCCAAGACAAGAACACATACAGCTATGACCCTGTGGCCAACAAGCCCTGCTTAGAAGAGTCAGGGGACTCACAACTGAGGAAGGTGCCGTGGGAAGCAGCTCTGATCAGGAATGCAGGCCATCAGCTTGCAGGCTTGCTCAGAGACCTCCATATATCAATATGGGTAACCAGGAGATATTGATCATTTGTCACAGTTTTCTTTCAGATCTTTGGTGGGAACTTTGCTTTTATATTAGCCTCTGCCTAGTCTTCTTTGAAGAACAGATTTTATGATAAAATAAAGAGTTTGCAAAACTAGGTAGTTGGTCACGCATTTGGGAGATAAGCAATAGTCAGACACTTATGGACCTTTTGTCCTTGTTGAAGTATTTAAAAGTTTCCTAATAGAGTTGGGAGGATGGAATGCCAGTAGAGGGGCCCAAAACACAGAACACAGTGAAGGGAACTATTGCAGATAACCATGAAAGGAATATGGCTGAGGAAAAAGAGCTGGTGATTATTAAAAAAAGACATGCATTCAAGGTCCACATGGGAGGATGTTGTGATTGATTTTATGTGGGGGTAAAGAGAGACTGTTTAGAAGAATGCCAAGATTTGGGGTTGGTAGGGTACCATTCTTCTAAAGAAGGAATACACAAAAGGTTTCCAGAAAAAATATGAATCCAACTTGTTAGCACATTAAGTTTCAGGTACCCTACAGAACAGCCCCTGCAATGACCAATAGGTAACTGAAATAAGAACCTACAGTTGAGATCTAGGATAGAGGACAGTAAGATGGTTGTTGAAACCATGAGTGTGTTGGGGTCTGTAAGGCAGTGTGAATAGACTGAGGAAAGGATGAAAACAATCCTAGGGACCAGCATAACTTAAGGGATGGATGGATGATGAATAGTCATTTTAGGAAGATGTCTGATGAGGTCATGGATGCCAGAGAAGGAGAGATGTCAAGAAGAGATTGGACAGCAGTGGCAAGTACCACAGAAGGGTCATGTTCATGAATGAATGGAAACATTTGGCAATGAGATTAACTTAAAATGAGATGTATCTTTGAAGTGGAGGCAAAGTTAAAAATAAATTTTTCAGAAGTGATATAACAAAAATGATGCTTTAAAAGCAACCATTTTTATTACTACAGCTCTGGAATTTGTTATTGTAAAGCACAAAAAAAATTATTAAGATTAAGCCAAAGGCATGATGATTGTAATGTCTCACTTGAGGTCTCAAAATGTATTCTTTCTTTCTTCCTTTAAAGATGCCAAAATAAGCCACCAAGTTACAATTATTTACACCCTATTCACTGGTAACTTCTGTGACATTTAACTTGTATCAGGCATGTATTAAAAATGACTATAAATGGAAAATGAAATCTAAATATGAGAACTCTAAAGCAAGAATGTGGAAGCAGGTCTGTTATCAAGATGTCCTGTCTACTCTTCTGCTAGCTCCCTTTTAGGTAAAACACTTGGCTTTGTACATTGTTAGCACACAGGCAAATCACAACACTGTTGGAACTCAGTTTTCCAATCTCTGAAAGCAAAAGTAGTGTCCTCTAGACTTCTGCTTTTCAAATCCACCATGAATCAGTGGGTTATGAAATGGAAAATGTCAGAGTATACACTCCCCACAGTGAGGAGTCTTGTTTTTCCAAAGTTAAATTTCAGCTTTTAGCTCTGTGTGTGTGTGTGTGTGTGTGTGTGTGTGTGTGTGAGAGAGAGAGAGAGAGAGAGAGAGAGAGATTACTAGATCACAATGTTTAAGAAACACTACCTTTGATTAGAGTTGCTTCCCATCCTAAAATTCTCTGTCAAATTGTTCTCTTGGTGTAGTAAATGTTTCATAACAATACTGTGGAGTGGTCGGTATAAAACCTGTTAAGGAATGACAGCTAATTACAAAAAAGAAAAACAACGAAGAGGTAAATAAGGCCAACATCTGTGTTATATTTGACCACAAGACTGAACAAGCCTTTAAAATTTATTAGTATTTCAACTAGCAAGTCATTACTGTAATTTATGAAGAAAAGTTAAAGTATGCTATATATTAACAAACAAGGAGTAATTCTTTTGATGGTCATATAAATAAGCAACCGTATCATGTAGAAATAATACTTTTTCAAAAATAACAATACATGCACACAAATTCCTGGCAATAAAATAAATGTAGTAAGTCTCTTCTGCATTGCCACATAAAAAGATTCATTGACACGGTTATGAGACAAGTTAGTGTTTTTATTGGCCTGAACTAGAGGGAGTAAACACCTTAGACAGGTGTTTTGTTTTAGAAACAGCTGTTGAAACTGCCCCTACTGGTTCAGTCTATCTGCTTGAGGGTTCATTTGAGCATTTGCATTTTCCAGAAAGCTTACTGATATTTAGAGTCCTGTGCCTGTGCAAATTCCTATAAAACCAAGATTCAGTTAGAGGTTTCTTAAACTTATCTGTTAACTATTTTTAATTCTTCTGCAATCTATGCAATTTCATAGGTTTTAGGGTCATATTAAATGGGGACAATTTAAAAGTGCTAAGGAGTAGGAATCATCACAGGAAATTTGAGAGGAAGTACTTTCAATTGTCCCTCTCCTCCTAGCTCTTGGACAGGTGTTTGCTTTGCCCCTTTGCCAATCTCACCCCTGACTTTTGGCAATACTCTGTTCTCTGACTCTTTACCACTGTCAGTCAGCTGGCAGAGTAGGTAGGAGAGGATTTGGGGCCAGCAGTGCCATCCTGCCAGATTTCTGCAGACATTCCTGGTCCTCTTCCAGGACTATGAAAAGATACACCTTGGATGATACCCTGAGGAAGGCATAGGCTGTGCCAGCAAGGTGGGCGGTGCTGACAGGATGGGTGGAGCTGGTGGGGTAGGCAGAGCTGCTGGGGGTGTTGGCTCTGCCTCCTGGCCACAGCTGATTGGCTGGTGACAGACACCACCATTCTCTATCCCCATCCCTCCATCCCAGTCCTCTGCTCTCTCTGAAGTATACCAACACTTAATGGTTATGCCAATTAAGAGATGAGAATGTTTTACATATTCTATGTAAAACGTATTTGCCATCTAGTCTAGTCAATTTAATTATTAGATGAGCAAACTGAAATTCAATGAAGGACACCAACTTATCTCAGGAGAGCAAGGATATAGGGTCTGTTGTCTAGCATTGGACTCTCCCTGCACTTCCTGCTACCTCCCAAAGTTCATGAGGAGATGGAACTTGAGGTAGATACTCAAGGCTGTGATGGACTTTAGCTACATGGAGAGTAAGGAGTAAGGCAAGTCCTGAGCTTTGGAATGAAAATAATGTGTTCAGAAGACAATATATAAAAATATAGCATTTATGTTGAGCAGCATTAGCTAATAAGAATCTTACTTTCTCTAGATTTTATGTTCATGACTCTAATACTATAAGGATGTGCATACTACACTCTAGTCTTATTGGGTGAAGGAATAATTTCTCTAGTATAATTTCCCTGGTTACTTGATGATACAGGTAGATTCTGTACTTATTCTATAAGTTTGCTTTCATTATAAAATAGTATATTAGAAGTTACTGCTTTGTAGAAAAATGTCATATATAAAAGTGTTATTAGATTGCTAATAAAACCTTCAAAAACTCATTTTACATTTTTGTGTACATTCTTCATGGACATTTTTCCCTTTGCTGATTATGCAGGCTCTTCAAATATGAGCCATGTCACTTCCTGGATCTGATGCATTGCATATACAGTAATACACTAAAAACTGGAAATATCTTCATATCCCAGGTGTCCGTATCAGTAGAAGCCAGTAGATAGTATCAGGACTGGGGTTGTGTGGGACAGGCTGGTGGCTGGTTGCTAGTGTCTAAGGCCTGAGGTGTTGAGGAGAAGCCACTGAAAAGTGTGGAATGTGGGCACTTCCCCTGGGTATGGTCCCAGCAGTTGGATGACTGGATAGTGTCACCTGAAGGACAAGATCAGCTACCTGAGCTGGGCATAGTACCAAGTGGTCACAGTGGTCATCACTTCCTACTTTGACTATGCTCCAAATTGGCAGACAATCTGTATCAATACAGTAATGAAGGTTATCATAAGTAGTAAAATTAGCATTTATTATCCTTCCGAAATTAAGCTTTATCGATATGCTTCCAGTTATCTCTGGCAATGATTTAGACACTCTTAATGAATTGTGGTGTAACATAAACAATGTCTTCTCCAATGTCTTCTCAATTCACTGAATTGAGAAGACTTATTCTTCAAACAGACATGTAAAGCTGTATTCCTGCTACTTTATACATATAAGTAACCCTACCTAGATTTTATATTTTTGGTAATATTTTAAGATGCATATTATTTCTTCACTACACAAGTACCAGTGATACTCAAGATGCTTTTTAAATAAGTCACTGAAATTTGAACAGGGAATAAATCACACACACCAAAAGCAGCTGGAGTCTGTGCATCCCAGTGGGTCTCTTGCTTTCGACCTGATGCTGACTCCTCTTAATGTGAAACTATATTTCATTTAACCTATAAAATTTTTCTTTTAGGATCCACCTACTTCAGTTTCCCTTGGACTGAGAATGGAAGAAATGATTTTCAACTTGGCAGACACACATCTATTTTTTAATGACTTAGAAGTAAGTTCTAATTCTCTATACACACTTCATGTTGTATGTCTGAAAATAGATGATTGTGTCTCAAAATAGCCTTGGGATATTATTTTTTGAATAAGGAGATAAAGTAATTGCTGATTATATAGTCACATGTTTTGCCTTCCTGGTATTTGTTTTGCTTCACTTTCACTGTTGTGTTTCAAAGTTAGGTTTCCTTTGTAAGGGTTAAATTTGTTCTCAGGAATCTTAAAAATTAAGCTTTATTAATTATCAGATTATCAGAAGATACAGATTTTGCTGTTGTACAGTCACTGTTTCCTGTAGAGATTTCCTATAGAATCCAACAGAATTCATATTTGCAAATGCTGTGTTAAGACTCCTGTCCTATTGAGTGGGATGCTACTTGAATAAAGGTATGATTCAACTAACTATAAAAAACAATAGTGGAAAAGTTATTTAGAATTGTAGTCTTAGGGAGGTTAATTTTAGGTTATTTTACTTGCAAATAATGTAAAAGTATCAGCTGGTCCATTTGGTTGGATGATGTTTCAGTCACATCTGTCTGATCTTTTGGTTGCCAGGATTTCTGTCACACTGCTGCTGATTTTACTTGTTCGTTATGATTTTGGTTGGACTACAAGATGGCTAGTTAAATGTGCGGTGGACACTGACAAACATGATAATCTTGTTTAGCAGCATTCTTTAAGAATAAAGAATATTGTTTTTAATATCTCCATTATGAGGAAAAAATGACTATAACTACATTTCACTCCCTTCTTAATAGAGACAGTTGTTTATTTAAATCCTGCTGTTAAGCAAGCTTGTGGTAGGCCTGCCAACAGGCATTAATCATCAAGTTGTTGTTTTGCTAGATTTTATAAATGTATGTTATTTCAGACAGGAGAAGAATCTGAAAGATTCAAATAGAACTTTTACTGATCAAAGTTAATTGGCAGCAATTGGCCTTTAAATATTTCCTGATGTTTCCTTTTTCAAAATCAAGCAAAATGCACCTTATTTAATAGAAGAGCCAAAATCATTTGAAAAATGCCAGTGTGTGACAGAACTTAAATGCGGTTTGTTCAACATCTGTCCTGTATTTTGATTTCTTTTCATCTGCAATGAAACTACTCACAGACGAATTGGCAACTTCCAGTGCAATAAAATTATTTAAATGTGCTTCATTTTTTCCCCATTCCTTAGTGAAATATTTATTTTTACACTTAGGATAATTTTTTTGCATTTTTTAAGTGTTTGCTTTCCTTGAGAAAATTACATGTAAGGCATTCCTATTTTTTAAGGTAGAAATATTCCAAGTGAGTGACAAGTTCAGAATTGCCTTTAGAAAAGCTTAATAATCACACTTATTTTCAAAAGCTGTTTCTGATTTATGGTTGTGATTCACTTCATAAGAGCAGCACAAAATATTCCATCTTTTACTATGCTAAAATTTCTTCCCTACATTTTTACCCTTTTCTAATAATACAGACAAGGCTGATATTTTCCTGGGTATAACCTTGTTACTCTTATTGCTGCTGATAGGTGTTAATAGCAACCATCAAGAAGAAATTAGGAGTAATTTGCTATTGTTTTTATGCTCTACCTTCTTAAAAAAACCAAAGCTTGTCTATATTGTGCCAAGACTATGTGGTAGAAAAAGAGAAGTTAGACTAAGTAATAACTTGTTAGAATACAGACAAAAATCTTTCAAACTCAGTTTTGATATACTATAGTCAGATTTTTGTTTACTAACAGTTCTTACATTACACCATATATAAAAAGTACCTAAAATAGTATTCAAATAAATACATTAAGAATAGAGATGAAAAGTTTTAGGTTGGGATATACAGGATGTAGTTTTTCCATAACCCAAATTTAAAAGCAAAGGAATAACTATAGAGTTCTATCCACTGGCATTTTATAATACCAGTTGAAATATCAGATTTTGTTCTTGGCATGAGGTTATTTCTTATTAGAAGTAACATAGAAAAGAGAATGAAGATATAATTCAACCAAAAAGCAATAGAGCAAAAGTTACTTAAAATTGTAGCCTTACAAAATTTAAGTATTTTACTAAAGAATAATGTAAAGGTATCAGCAAAAGTATAAAGATTCATTTACTTTCTGTCTTTGAAAATTGTTTACTTACCCTGGATTTCACAATATTTTTTTAAAAATTGATTCTTATACTTACCTCACCCTTTCACTTTGTTTTTATAATTCAACAAACCTGGGAATGGTCATTGCAAATAATAGTTTTCTTTCAAAATAAAAAGCAAAATTAATTCCTGGCAAAAATAAACATATTGGCAAAAAATTCTTAAGAAAACCAAAATTATCTCACCAGGCAGAAATGATGTAGTAATGCCTGATTTCACACTCCAATTAGCAATGTGTGGTGGTAAGGGACCTGAATATTTTAATATATTTAAATGACATATTTTTCTAAGCTTTATGGTAAAAGTAATTTCAAAAAGATTATAATCTGTTGGTTAACTTGAAGTGGATTTCTGAACTCTGTTGATATTTAACTTCATTTCTTTTAAAAATCTTAAATTTTGCCAGTTTCCCCTCTGTACAAATTAGGTAGGTTCACAGGCTTCTAAGAGAATCTAAATAATGAAATGCAGTGTGTTATGGCTTCCAGTAACATTACTTGCATTATCAAAATATATGCTTAAAATGACTATTAGTATGTGATTGAGGAAATTTAGGATAAGACTTTAAAATAATTTAGAAATATTTTAATTGCACTTATAAAAATAAAAATGTTAACCATATTTAGTTTAATAGGCTATTTGTCATCTTAGAGACAATTTTTTGAATTTTTTTTTATTTTTAAAGATTTATTTATTTACTTTGTACAAGCACTGGCTACAGTCAGAAGCATGGGAGGGTGAGAGGATTCACCAGAGACAGAGCGGGGAGCAGAACAGGCAGACGGACGAAATACACTGCTGAGGGGAACAGCGGGCAGGGCAGGAGAGATGTGCTGTGCCATGTGGAACCCTCGCCGGCTGGCCAAGATCGAACTGGCACTGCAGAGGCTGCAGGCAGCTTCGCAGCCCAGCACTCAACCACTGCGCCACCGGGGAGACCCCTTAGTGACAATTTTTAATAAAAACAATCACAATTTAATCCCATTGATACTCTAGGAAAATAATGAAAAGGAGAAATTTGGGAGTTTATATCATTAAAACTGTTTGACGTGCTAGGGAACATGAGTGACAGGAGACATAATTATCAAAGGAAATAATATTTTCCCCCACCAAAGAAGGGTTGAGATTTTAGTTCCATAGTGTACCCTTGGCTTTCCCACTTCTAAATCTGACTAACGTCCTGTATATCATTTTACCAAAGGTCTCCATGTGCAATATGATGATGCTTATATGGAAGTGATTTTTTTATGAATGACACTGTGAAACTGGAGTTTTTTCAGCTTCTTTAGTAAAGTATGACCTTTTATGACTGAATAGAGAAAGAGTTCTTTCTGTTGAATTTTTATTGAAAAGCAGTCTGCAAACAAAATGAGGAAAGGCCTTCAGTATATAATAATGTTTCAGTTTGACTTGATTTTGGTCAGTTCTCCTGCTAGATTTTTCCACAGCTTAAAGGAAAACATTTCACCAAGATGGATATAACTATAACTAAAAATAAGGTATAAGCTTATGTTGAACTTTTTTCTTTCTATCTGATGTTAAGTTCTATCTTTTCACTGGTGTTATGGCTACTATCCTAATTAGTGTTACTGACATGGTGACTTTCAAGAGTCTCTGCTCTGGGACTGTCCCTCCTCCTGCCCAGGGGTCAGGACTGGAAAGTAGCAGGAACTCTCCTCTTGACTTCCTATGAGACACAGACATGTGAAAGTGTTGTACACAACGCACTAACCCAGTTAAGTGTGAGCTGTATTGGAACTCTCTCCTTCGCCCTCCGGATGTGTTTATTGGGACATACCAGAGTATTCTTTGGTGTCAAGATTCATAACATGAAATGTTCCAACCTTTTCTTGGGCTTTTGTTATATAGGCTTCTATCCCAGATCTGATTTTATTTTTTATTATTTATTTAAATATTAGATTTTATTTATTTAGCATAGAAGAAGTAGACTATAGGCCAGAGATGCAAGGAATGAGAGGATTCACCCAGAGACAGAGTGGTGAACAGAACAGGCAGATCTACTGAAATACACTGCTGAGGGGAGCAGCAGGTGAGACAGGGGAGGTCTGGTGCACTGTATGTGGGTTAGCTCCCTGGCCAGGGATCGAACTCAGGGCATAGTGGTGATAACGCTGAGACTTAACCCCTGAGCCTCTAGGGAGGCCCCAGTTATGATTTTAAAGCACCGCTCTATAGTCCCTTGCTTTCATTTGTTCTATTAAGCAAACGTCTGGGACAGACTCTGGTCTCTCTAGAACCTGGGCTTGATGAGCCAAGAAAAGAAACTGTAATGATTTTGCTTATAAAGCAAAAAAATTCGTTTGTCCCTTGGTTTAATTCAGACTTTAACATTTGAGATATTTTATTACTGTAACATGTGGCTAATATCTGTTAATTATTTTAATGTATCTTACTCAAATTTTAGCTAAAGTATTTCTTCAAAGTAACAGTCATGCCAATGCTAAGTAGCTTCAATTTCAAACAAAGTGTTCTTTAGTTACCTAATGTTTATGCTTTCAGAAGTGTAAAAATTTTAATCTAGTTCAGTAGTTGATTTTTTGATTTGAATAATTATAATTTACATAGGCAGCACTTTATTCTGATACCCAGCGACTGGCTTTGCATGGATTTTCTGGTTCTCTGCTACCAGACAAAGGGTTCCATGGGTACTGGCAAAGGAAACACTTCAGGAAGAACTTGAGCTGTTTTCTCTTCTCAGTTCCTTCTATAAGGTAGATTAGCTATATGAAAATGTGTTGGTTTGTCAGTATTGCATTCTAAACATAAATGAACCCATATATACATATATGGATTATTTACATACACACAAATGGCACATACCATTTGTCAATTCCAGTTTCATATGTAGATTTTCATATACTTATTTCCCCCTGATAAATTTAGCAGACATAAAGGATCACAAATTTTTAAATCCTAGTAACATCATCCATAACACTCAGAATGTTGCCTTATACATGTGGACCATTAAATGAGTATTTGTTAAACTGAATTATCTCATAATACAATAGCAATCTCTGTCTCTTTACCCATGGATGACAGTAGAGTTGATTCTGCCTTCCGGCATTTTATGTAAGTTGCTTAGATTTGTCCATTATCTTAGTTAACAAAAGTAACATCAAAATCTACAGTCTCGAGGGCAAATGTTTATATAAAGTCAGTTGGCCAAAAGATATAACTATTTAACATAAAAATTCACCACATACCAATAGCCTACATTGTACTTAACAGTAACATAAAAGAGAAATTGTAATTACAAATGGAATCAAAATAAGAATGCCCTTTCAGCACTATTATTCAACATTGGTCAGAAGTTTGTGATAAGGCAAAGAGATTAAAATTGTTGATTGTTACAAAATATATATATATATTTTTAAAGATCTATTTCATTTATTATTTATTTATTTATACAAGCACTGGGTACACTCAGAAGCGCGGGAGGGTGAGAGAACTCACCAGAGCCAGAGCGGGGAGCAGAGCAGAGCAGGCAGAAGGACCGACGTACACTGCTGAGGGGAGCAGCGGGCGGCAGGAGAGGTCTGCGTGCCATGTGGGACCCTCCTCCTGTGGCTGGGGAGCAGCCGGGGATAGAACTGGCGCCGCAGAGGCTGCGGGCAGCTTCGCAATCCAGCGCTCAACCGCTGCACCACCGGGGAGGTCCTGTTACAAAATATTTTATGTACATAGAGAACTGAAGAGAATTTACTGGAAGAATCTTAGAATTTATAATAGTATTCAAGAAGTGTGAAAGAATATTGTCTTATTTGTAGCTTTCTGTGTATTACAAATCCTCTATCATTAGTTTTGTAATTGGGAAAGAAAAACAAATACTATTTTTGAAAGGCATAGTTAATATTAAAAGAAGAAGCTATTTTGGGTGCCTCCCTGGTGGCGCAGGG